AATTTCTCTTATCTGCAAAGGTCTAAGGTAAACATGAGGTACCTACCCAAATTAATTAAGATAGCCGAATTATGTATAAGTAATATGTTGGCCATCCGGCCATCCTTCTTGTTTTGATACTTTGTTGTTTGTTAAATGATGCTTCCTCGATCTCATGAATCCTGCCACATGGCAGACAAAAGCTCGGCACGGATCCATTGGGTCAATTTTAGAAGGTTGAATAGAGCTTAGTTTCTCTCTCATCCTTCTATACTTTATTTTTACCTTTCATTTGTTATTCATTACAGTTTTTATTAGCGCCTTAGTTGTATTTATCTTTTTGTACCCATTTGTTTGCATTTACTCAGGCGGTTCAGGGCGGCCAACTGTGGCGAAAGTTGCTATATCGGAAGATAGATGAGACTATCGCTCTGACCGGACGTCATGAAGGTCTTGGATTTTCGACCAAGGATGCCATTATCTCAAGAATTTTATCCTTGGCCAAGGTGACACATGCACTTTACCTGGTGAGTCGCTCTTGCAAGATTCATATGTATCTTAATTTTTTGACTAGTATTAGGCCGTGATTTCAAGAACTTTTCGGGATCCTTTTTGATTAAAAATTGAGCCATAAATACTACCTTTTACTTGAATTATATCAATAGCACGACAAAGAGGTAGTCGAAATGTGTGCGCTCCTTTTTTTATTTCATTTCTCACCTATATTTGCCTCTGGTTCTGGCCTCTTCGTACTCACGATGCTTCATTCGCTTGTACAATTCTGGCACAACATTTTTTTCAGAAATCTGTATAGGGACCCTAATTACACATTAAATTAAGTAAGATCAGATTAAACAACTTCCCGGAAGCTATTTGTAAACTGTATCAGTTAGCTATTCTAAATTTGGCTTACCTGGTTATTCCTTAGATAATTCTATGAAAGTCACACATCTCTCGTCCAGCTAGATACAATAATCGAGTTATTGTTAAACTTATTTTATTCAAAACTACGCCTTGGCTCAACTGCAGGTGGATCATCCACCATTGACACTGAAGGGTGCCTGGAAGAAGCTTGTATCGTCTCAACGCAAGCGAGCTGTGATGGCCTGCTTCCGAATGGTGCCTCTATATGCACTGCCTCGGCATCGTGGCATTAATCTCTTCTTGAATAGTTACGTGACCGAATGGCTTGACTACGAGGAGTCACCAGGTGTCCAACTGATTGAGGATGTGACTGCCGAAGCAGAAGTTCCAGGCTGTGGTGGAGTGGTTGTTGCCACTCCCGCCAGCGAGGACCAGCTGGCGGTGAGTTCTTCTACAGGCAAGTTTGGGTCGGGCGGCACGGACGTAAAGGAAATGGTAACTAAGACGGGTAGCAGCAACAAATTAGAAGATAAAGATGCAGAAAGGAAACACGATTCGGAAGGTGAGCTTATTTGGCTTTAAAGGGTGAAATTCAACCCACATTTTCACTTAGATAGACTAACTTACCTTTTATATTTTTATCAATTTCATCTAGTTTTGGCATTACTACTCTGCTTCGTTTTTGCTATCTGTCCACAACAGAAAACTGTCCAAATTGATACATCTCTCCAACGATCACGGTTTGTAGAAAAACTGGGTTTCGAAGAATTCCTTAATAAACTGAGGTTTGATTACCTTTCAGTTCTTC